GTGACCCGCTGGACTCTGGGATTAGTGACCCGCTGGACTCTGGGATTAGTGACCCGCTGGACTCTGGGATTAGTGACCCGCTGGACTCTGGGATTAGTGACCCGCTGGACTCTGGGATTAGTGACCCGCTGGACTCTGGGACTAGTGACGTGCTGGACTCTGGGACTAGTGACGTGCTGGACGCAGGGCTTAATGATGAGCTGGACGCAGGGTTTCGTGACCCGCTGGACGCAGGGCTTCGTGACCCACTGGACACAAGGCTTCGTGACTCGCTGGACTCTGGGCTTCGTGACCCACTGGACGCAAGGCTTCGTGACCGGCTGGACTCTGGGCTTAGTGACGCACTGGACGCAGGGCTTAATGACGCGCTGGACGCAGGGCTTAATGACGTGCTGGACACAGGGCTTAAAGACGCGCTGGACGCAGGGCTTAGTGACGCGCTGGACTCAGGACCCACCTGAGACACCTACACATACCTGAGAGTGAGCCTGCAGAGCCCACCATAGATGCTGCAGAGCCCATCTGATACTCTCTATGGTGGGCTCTGCAGGGGTCTCAGGTGGGCTGGACAGGGCTGCATCGCCCTCCCTCCTTCCCAGCTCCTCTTACCTGCTCACCTGGCCTCCTCTGCCGCTGCACTGGCCGGAAGTGACGTGATGCCACTTCCGGCGGTCAGAGATCAGATGAAAAGCTGCGCCGATGGGCTGTGCCTGTATAGGTAATGCTGTGGCCCGGCGCTGCTACGGCCGGGCCCCTCCTGCGCTCCGGGGGCCCGCCTCCTCGCTTGTCACCGGCGGCTGATACTCATGTAAGGGTCCCGGGCGGGCCCCTACGGCCCTGCAGGGACGTGCGGTCAGGGGAGGCAGAGCCTCACCTAGTATTATGGAGGATAAAGATCAAGTCTGAAGCTGACTGCTTTTTCTTCATTCAGATCGGCTTTAATCAGGTTACACAGCAGGGAAAGCCTCCCTGCTGTCCAACCTGTCATTGAGGGAGCGCTGCCTGTTAGTTACAGGCAGCGCTGCATCCGGCTTTTGACAGGTAGTTAGGTTACACAGCAGCAGGCTTCCCCACTGCTTGTGTAACCTAACTATTGAGGCAAGAGCTGTCACAGCCTTTACTCTTTGTTAGAGGCGTGAGCCATTGGTCCATGGCTTGGACCATTGGCAAAGCGCCATTGGTCCAAGCTGTCCAATCAAAAAAAGAAAGAAAAAACACTGAGGCCATCGATCTCGATGCCTCAGCAGTGACGAAGAAAGTGAGGGACAGGGACCTCCCTTCCTCCTTCACACTAGCTTGGGGACTGGTTGGGGTGGGGCTTCTATGGCTGGGCGGGGCTTCGACAGGTGGGCAGGGGTGGAGCGGGACGTGCTGGGGCGAGGCAGGGGAATGCCTCACCCGGAACCAGAGGTACTGCAGGTCACTGCTCCTATGTCTTCCAGCTGGAACACTGACCATTAACCAGCACCCTTTTCATAAGGGCTGGTCACCACTTGAGTCCGGACCCAGGAATGGAGATTTCATCCCTCCCAATGCTCTTTGAAATCTCCCAGTTCCAGGAACACAAGCCAAATCCAGAAAACCTGGGAAGAACTGCAAATCCAGCTCTTTCCTGGTACAAGCAATTGCTTCCTGGAACCCCTCTGGCTGAGAATACTGGGTCACTTTGAGGCCACATAACACCAGGGTATTGCCATGCAATGCCACAATACTTACATACACACACAGATACATACTTACATACATACATGCAGATGCATACACACAGAGTCACATACATAGATAGAATCACTAAATGTGTGTGCAGACAATCTGGCTGGCTCTCCTGGCTGCAATCTCTTCAGCTGTACCATCAGCTATAGAGTAGGGGTGCGGAAATTAACGATTAATCCGTCGATTAATCGTTAATTTCTTTGATCGATCAAAATTATTTTGATCAATCAAAGTACTCACTGACATCGACGTCACCTTACTCCTCCCCCCCCCCCCGAGTGGCTCTGTCGGCTAACGAAGGGAAGGGGGGAGGAGTCGGGTGATGTAGTTGTCCGTGATGGGTAACGAAGGGAATGAGGGAGGAGTCCGTCGACGTCGATGTCCGTGACGTCACCGGACTCCTCCCCCTTCCATTCGTTACCTCAGCTGCGAGGACCCAGCAGCAGCCACCTGATACAGAGACCCGCCTCGATGTTCCCGGCCGCTGTCCCCCCACGCGGGTATGTTTTTTTCCAGCACTCTGCTCAAGCTATAGAACATGGAATAGAATATGGCTGAAACTGACTATATTCTATTCCATGTTCTATAATGTCATTGTACTACTGGGAAACTACAAGTCGGCAGTTCAGCTGCGACTTGTAGTTCCCTGTATGATAGAAGGCTGTTTTAATTACTGTCCTCATGAAAGTACTAGTAATACAATGTCATTATAGAAACATTGAATAGAATATAGTTGATTTCAAAAGTTACTGTACTATAATGGCATTGTATTTTCATGAGGAAAGTAATTAAAATAGCCTTCTATCATACAGGGAACTACAAGTCCCAGCATGCACTCACTGTCCCTGTACAACTCTCACATATCACGCAGGGAACTACTGCAGGGGGCTTGCATGCTGGAACTTGTAGTTCCCTGGGTGATTTATGTGGGGGACGGTGTACAAAGACCATAAGGGCATGCTGGGACATGTAGTTCCCTGGGTGATGTGGAGAGGTGTACAGGGGCAATGAAGGCATAGTGGTTGTAGTTGAACTGCAAGTCCCAGCGTGCCTTCATTCTTATATCCCTGGGTCGCAGGCACTGGTGTTCTGCTACTTGGGGGTTGGGGGAAAAGTACATTATACATGATATTTATTGTTCCTGTCACCTTCCCTGATATGTTCGGTCCAGGCAGTTAGCTGACCTTGTTTTGCGTCCTCTTGTTGTTCTAACAAGGCTGGTTAGACCCCACAGAGCCCTGCTACCCTGGTGAGGCCCCCTCAAAGCTCTGGTGAGACCCCCCTCTGTATGTGCGTTATAATTAATCGAAATTAGTCGATTAATCGATTAAAAAACAATTTGATTAATCGAACAGGAAAATTTTAATCATTACCAGCCCTACTATAGAGGACTACAAATCTCAGCAATACATTATACACTGTATATATAATGTATGGCTGGGATTTGCTGTATTCCTCTATAGCTGGTGGTATTCTGCATTATGTTGTATAATGTATTATTGTTGGTATTTGTAGTCCTCTATAGCCAGTGCCATTCTGCATTGATTGCTATATAAATTTACACTTTCCATTTCAATATATTGCACACCACACTTTTTTTGCTTCCACCGCTCCAAGCTTGACTGATGTGACTGGCTTAGTGTTCCCGGTACAGCAATGCGGTATATGTCAGAGCTATATAAATGTATAATAATAGTGTGTGACTGTGGGGGGGACATTAGAGTGTAAGCTCCTCTGTACAGAGACTGATGTGTATAATAATAGTGTGTGACTGGCTCAGTGTGTCGGCGGTGTGGGGGGGTCGGCGGTGCGGGGATTGGGGGGTGTGCCGGCCGAAAGCCGGCACAGGAGAATTTCATGAAAAGTTTTCAAAATGGTTAAAAGTTTGGACATGTAAACAGATTGAAATAGAACTCACACAGCATAATGCACAAATACCCGTTGGTTCATCTCAGAAACCTATATACCATTCAAACAAAGAACTAGATAAGGAAACAAGTCCATTTTTAAACTTGCTGCCCACAGTCTATGTAGCTATGCGGTTGTAAATATATTTCCACAGAGTGAAGACAATCTGAACATAGGAATCTCAATGGCACATACCTTAGCTAATGAAATAGCTACCGTAGAACACGCTGACATTAAAATAATAGCTCAACCAGTTGACATCCGCGGTGTTAAACCCCCTTCCCATCCAGGCCATTTTTCAGTATTCAGCGCTGCGGTACTTTGACATTTATTCCGTCATGCAACGCTGTACTGAAATTGATTTTATTCCATTTTTTGGGGACAGATAGAGATTTCTTTTGGTGGTATTTATTCACCACTGGGGTTTTTATTTTTTACTATATTAAGGGAAAATTACCGAAATTTTTTTTAAAAAAACTGTTTCCCCTATATTAAATTATAAAACATTTTTTATTACCCAATTTTTTGGTAAAATATAAAAGATGGGGTCACGTCGGGTAAAAAGACACCAAACATGTCAAGCCTTAAAATTGCGTGTGAAACCTAAAAAAAATTATAATACCCAAAATTGGCCACAGGCAACGCTTTAAAAGTTTTTACCACTCATCATTTTAGTGTTATCAGTGATTGATGGCCCTAAAATTATTGCTCTCACTGCGACGTTCGCGGCGATATGTAACGTGTGTAGCGCAATTGTCGTTTCCGCGCGCTGGTGCACCGGACGCATATTTACATTTATATGTGCGTAAATGTGAGGGTGGGGGAGTTAAACATTTGGAGGGGGGGTTTACTTTTTTTATATGTGACTTTTTTTTGTGACTTTTTTATATGTGACTTTTATTTTTTTATTTATATATTTTTTTTGCACTTATTGTTATTGCTATTATATAGGGCAGGGGTGCCCATAAGGTCGATCGCGATCTACCAGTCGATAGTGTAGCGATCACTGGTAGATCGCAATGTCCTGTCTTCTCTGGATCCCCGCTGCTCTCCCCCATCTGTATGCAGCGGGGATCCGAGGAATAGTGAAGCTGCAGTCGGCGGCGGTGGGCGGGAGACGTAGCCGCTATCACAGCAGCACGCCGAGCGGTGAGGAGAGAGAAAGCCGCTCGGCTTGGATCTGACAGCCGGCGGCTCTCTCTCTCCTCACTGCACATGCTGCTGTTACAGCGGCTCCGTCATCCGTGCGGCTGAAGTGCTTTTTTCTCCTCTTCTCGGATCTCCCGCTGCCTCTGCTCGGGAGAGCAGGGGAGATCCAGAGGAGAAGTTGCAGCCCCCCTCTGTGCGTGGCAGAGCGGCAGATGATCGCTACATATCAATGATATGTAGCAATCCTCTGTGCAGGACAAACACTGGAGCGATCAGCTGATTACTCCAGTGTTTGTAAATAACTGGGGACACATAGTACTGTGTCCCCAGTTATGAATGAACACGATGTGATTTACATCACTTCCTGTTCATTCATGAGTTTCTCAATGGGGAGTAGCACTCTGTACAGAGGCTCCTCCCCATTCAGAAACTGGTGATAGTAAATATTTTCTGAATGAATGGGAAGCCTCTGTCCTCAATTTCTTTTTCTATTTTAAAAGGTAAATATCAGGGGGCTGTTTTGACCCATAATATTTGCCCAAAGCCCCCCAACAGTAAAAAAAATAAAAAATAAAAAATGAAATAAGAATAAAAATAAAATAAAAAATTTTAAAAAATAAAATTAAAAATCCTGGAGGCAGGGCGCTGCCTCCAGGGGCCTGTTGGGGTCACACGCCTGTTGGCGGGGGACTTTTTTTTCTTGGCACGTGTGCAAAAGGAGCTGGCTACTGCTATGCTCCCGCGGTGCTTGTGCGGCTGCCGGCTGAATGTGTCAGACGCCGCACACGGAAAGGGGCGGGACACCTCTCCCCGTGTGCAACGTCCGCCACACAAGCACTGCAGGAGGATAGGTCAGGGGCAGGAGGGGGCGTGGGGTTACACAGCAGCCAGGTCTTCCGCCCACAGTTTGATCACCCGCACATTAGTGCCTACATTCCGGTCCAGAGTGATCTGCAAAAATAGTGCTTGCAGCATTTTTCGAGATCGCACTGGACCGGAACGCAGGCACTAATGTGCCTGGGTTCCAGGTGCAGGCGATCGCACTGTGGGTGAGGGGCCTGTCTGCGGTGCCACTGACTTAAATGCACCGCCACGCCCCCTCCCGCCTGTGAACGCAGGTGTTTTTTTGTTGGTAGATCTCATTGAGCTCGTCATTTGAAAAGTAGATCTCCAGAAGAAAAATTGTGGGCGGCCCTGATATAGGGGGATAACAATTCCCTATATAATAGCAAAGACACACTGACAGGTCCTCTTTATGGAGACATTAGGGGTCTCTAGGACCCCTAATGTCACCTGTGGACCCCAAAAGAAGCTGATGAAGCAGAGATCTGCTTCATCAGCTTCTTTTCTCTGGCTATAGCAGCCAGATGACTGACAGGTGAATGCAGAAGTGATGTAATACACATCACTTCTCCATTCACAGCCAGGAGGGAGGTCAGCAAGGAGCTGACCTTCCTTCCTCTTCCTCCTGACACCCTCCCGAGCCGGTCCCGGGCCGCAGATGGGGCAGCGGATCCCGGGATTGAAGGTAGAAGTAAAAGAAACTTTTGAGGTTGATACAAAACCTTTCTTAGTTTGTGAAAACAAGGTTTTGAGTCATGACCAAGAAAGTATTTTGCGTCCTGTCATACAATTTCAATAACGCAGTACATAAATAAGAGTTTTTAGGTTTTCCTAAAACAAGAAAAGAGTTGAAAATTCCCTCATAGTACATGGAGTATATAAATAGGAATGTTCTTACATAGGTTTTTAGAATTCATAAAAACTGCTAATTAAATTATTTGCACCATATAAGGAATAAAGGTCTGAAGCTAAGCTGACAGCTTTTTCTCCATTCAGATCGGCATCTAACAGGTTACACAGCAGGGAAATTCTCCCCGCTGTGTAACCCGTCATGGACAGTGCGCCTCAGCAGTGAGGAGCAAGTGAGGGACAGAGAGAAGCATCCCTGTCTCCTCCCTTCCTCCTTTACACTAGCTTGGGGCGGGGCTTTCAGCCGGCGGGGCTTTGGCCGGCAAGGGGCGGGACGGAATGTGCTGGGGGCGGGGCTGGGGAACAAGAGGTAACGCACGTCACCGCCACATTGACTCTCAGAAGACACAGGCACCTGTTAAGGACTATTTTTTACATACAGACTAAAGAAACGTTTCTCAAGCATCTTATAGACTAATGCTGTAAGATATACCATATCTTGTAATTATCAAGCATCTTATAGACTCAGGCTGTAACATATACTATATATTGTAATCATTTGAAACTTTGTAGTCAAACACATTTTTGAATTTTATGCAACAGAAGCAATTTTTTCTTTTCAACTTCTTCCACTCTTTGCTTCAAGATAAAAGAATATGACATAAAAATCATATTTCTACATACAGTAAAGAGTATATACGTACAGAGAGCTAACATGATTAAAAAATATTATTCAAGCATAGTTTAAAAAAAAAAAATTACTATACTCAAATGCTCAAGAACTAATACAAAGAGAAGCTTCAATCATTTTAAGTGCCATTTTTATGATATGATCTATTTTTTCTCTTTTACTGCAGCTATACTGAGCTCCTTAGAAGTAAATTAGCCTTTCTGTGAATAGTTTGCATTACATACCTTCTTGTCATATTTTCCTCTGCGTAGTCGTGGTCCTGAGTCACGCCATTTATCCTCATCAATCTAGAGGGGAAACATTTACAAAAAAAATAAAAGTATGGCTGTATTAAAAAAATATATTTTTGAGATTACGACTCTAAAGATAAAAAACGTTTTTTCTGTGTATAGATGTAAATATAGACACAGAGTTAATAATTTTCTTAATATCTGCTTCCTGCTTGTACAAAGACTGTACTTCACTCACTGTTAATGGAGGCACCTGCTATTACATATTACATCTGCATCACTTCCTGTATGCTTTAAAGTGAGCCTGTACTTTGCCCAAACAAGAAGTTGTTGATTGGGGCAGAAGTTGAGCACAGGGAAGGTAAGTACTAAACGCTTATGTCCCCTCCTGTTGAACCAACTAGCATGGGCCAAGTACAGGCTCCCTGATATGCAGATGCCTACAAGAGGGGCCCTTTTGACAACTACCCAGATTCTGAATTCATCAGTACAAGCAGTGCCGACTCTAGGGCGGGTAGGGGGCATATGCCTCGGGCGCTGCATGAGGGAGGCTCTGCCGGCAGGACCAGTGACGGATCTAGGGTGGAAACTACTTTTAAAAAGTCAGCTGCTTCAGCATTGGCGATCACTAGCACAGCTTTCCCCTCTCGGTCACTCTGTAGCTGCGAGGAGAAGAATCAGTTCAGCTGTCTGCCTACTTCAGTATTCGGGCTCCTCCGCAGCCACCTGCACCTGAATCAGATCAACTGTGCACTTTAAGTCCCTGTTATTTTCTGGTACACAGCTTGCCTCTGCACTGTGCGTCTCAACGTGACCTCTGCACTGTGCGTCTCAACATGACCTCTGCACTGTGCGTCACAACGCTGACCTCTGCACTGTGCGTCACAACGCTGACCTCTGCACTGTGCGTCACACTACTGCACTCTGCGTTACATTATTGGCCTTTGCACTCTGCATTACTACCGATATGCCACTACCCCGGAGAAACACAGACTATGAAGTTTCATATTATTCTGAATTGCTATATAATGTATTGCTGGGAATTGTAGTCCTCTATAGCTGGTGGTATTCTGCATCGCTGTATAATGTATTGCTGTGTAATGGACCACTGTGGTGGATCAGTGACCGGGTTCTTTGCCCTTTTTCTGGTGCGGCAACTCCCCTCCTGATCCACCATGAAGGTGAGGCTTGAAATCACTACATTCAAGTCTCTCACCCATGACAGATTAGAAGTGGCACCACCGGGAAAATAGAAGCAAGCCCAGAAGTGGCTCCTAAATCAACAAAGTGGCACTGGAGAATTAGGCGATTTGTAGCCTCACCTCTGCAGTGGATCAGGAAGGGCCGTTTGGATGGAGAACTTATCCCGGGCAGGGGGGGGGGGAGCAACTCTGAGTCTTTGCCCCGGTTGACGGAATGTCTAGCTTGTTACTGACAAGCATAGTTGTCCATTTTGTCTCTGCTACCTGCCACGATTACTATATTCCAGCAATAAGTTCCCATGGGCCTTAGGCCTCTGTGCAACAGGACAAGCAGCACATGCAAATAAATAATTGTAGCAGTCTAACTTTTACACCTTTTCAGTTTGAAAAGTAAATATTATGTAACTTATTCTCTTATAAACATGACGGACGGATTTTTTCTAATGCTGTGCAATGCAAAATTGTGCTTATATAAAACAAAGCATGTTAATATTGTACCTTTAAACTGACTGGGGAAGTCTCATTTGTTTCTAGTGGAAAAATCTTCTCTGCTGAGATATGAGACCATTTCTTCTGCTGCAGTTCACGTGCTTTGCGGTACTTTCTAGAGTGAAAAAAACAACTATTTAAAAATGAAAACAAAAGGACATATTTTTATAGAACAGGGTAGGTCTGTTTCACTATCACACCACCTCTACTAATATAACCATTTGTCGTCTCCTCGAAGATAAATGAAAATGCTTTCTGTTGTGTCGTTTTTACAGCTAGAACTTCGTGTTTTCAGCTGTTATGTTACAGTGTATCCCTTTAATTGTACATAAACTGTCTTTCTGCAGCTAGAGGCACATATGTTTTAAAGCATCTTCCTAGCAATAAAATAGATTTCAGACTACCCATAAAATGGCTCAAGGGAACAGGCACTAAAAAGACAATGTGCCAGTCTATGGCAAGGGTGGATCCAGAGTCTAGTCTTGGGAGTGGCACTGCCGGAGAATAAGGTGTTGCTTACAGAACTGACAATATTTTATTATGGATGCACCGAAATTTCAGCTGCCAAAACATATAGTCCGAAAATGGCACTTTTCGCAAAAAGCCGAAAGTGCCATCTTTCGGCCGAAATTGCAGTGCATCCTTCGGAGAGGAGAAAGCCGTCATCGGCAGTGTCACAGGAAGCCGAGCTCTCCTCCCGCACCCCCCACCCTCAGCCTCCTCTGACCAATCAGGATGGAGAGCGGTGTAGGGGCGGAGACAGCCGTGCGCTGTCACAGGAGCCCAAGCTGGTGGGGGAAGGAGTCAGCTGTCAAAATAGACCGAGCTCTCCTCCCCGCACAGCCACGTCACCCTGCTGTGACAGCGAGTCAGGATAGAGAGCAGTACAAGCAGTCAGCAATCAGTGATCGCTTACTGTTTGTAAATAACTGGACAAAGTAGGAGTTACTATGTACCAGTTATGAATGAAAAAGACATGCTCTACATCACTTCCTGTTCATTCATAATTGTGTATATAGTAGGATATGTACACATATGTCAATGTAGAGGTTCCTGTTCATCATAACAGGGGCTGCAGAAAAAGATGTTGAGGATTGTGTGTCCCCAACAGTAAAGTTAAAAAAGAAAAATGTTTAATAAAAATAAATACAAAATATATACATTTGAAAATGATCTAAAAAAGGTTAGAAAAACAAAATAAATTTTTATTTCGGTGCACCTCTATATCTTATTAAACATATCATATAGTCCTAGCCTTGTTTAACCACTTGCTGACCGGGATGTTAAACCCCCTTCCTGTCCAAGCCATTTTTCAGTATCCAGCGCTGCAGTATTTTTACTGACATTTATTCCGTCATGCAACGCTGTACTAAAACAAATTTTATACAATTTTTTGGGGACAGAGCTTTCTTTTGGTGTATTTAATCACCACTGGGGTTTTTATTTTGTATTATATGAAAAAAGCACCCAACATTTTGAAGAAAAACTTGTTTTCCCTGCGTTATATTATAAAAAATGTATCAGTACCCAATTTTTTGTAAAATATAAAAGATGTAGAGGTAATATAAAAGATGCGAGGTAAATAAACATCAAACATGTTGAACTTTAAAATTGCATGCGCCTGTGTGCCGCCCCAATAGGGGCATAGAATATGAGATGCATAGCCTCAGTTAATATTAGCATTGTTATATAGGTTAGAAACTGCAAAATTGCAAAAAACTACCATGCCTAAAATTGGCCACAGGTGACTCTTTAAAAGCTTTTACTGCTCATTAGTTTAGTATTAACGCTGACTGATGGCCTTAGAATAATTGTTCGGACCCCGAAGTAGCGGGGGTCGGCAAGAGATTGTAAAGCCCGGCCCATTAGCCATTTGGAGTCTGCTTGAAAATCAAGTAATCTGTACTTATCAGCCGTCACAAGGCGAGAGACCCTCAAGTTTTCCGCACCAGGGGTGAAGTCAGGATCACACATAAGCAGGTTCAATGGGGAAGGGGCAGGTGCTAATGCGGAAGCACGGAACACTACACGGGCTATTCCGATGGTGGAAGAGATCAATGGGTGTTCCCATACCGTAGACGGTCGGGGGAAGGAAGTCAGGAGAGCCCTTCCAGAGGGAAACGAAAGGTGGCCCTGTCAAGGGATACCCAGATCTTGCTGTCACAATGAACGCGCCAGTCTAAGATCCTATTTAGATGGACCGCCTAGTAGTATAAGTGGAAAACCGGTAGGCCCACCCCTCTCTATCCCGGGTGAGAGTCAGGGTCTTCCTGCTGATCCTCGGGTGCTTCCCTGTTCAAA